AAATACACCGTTTGGTTACCAAAAGTTCAAATACGCGTTGCGTGACGACCAGAATTCGTGTAATGTAATGATGGTGGTATTTTAAAAATAGGTGCGGCTAGGAGGTTACAAAAGACGATTTTTTTTAAAAAAGCTACTGTAACAAATCCCTGTCCCAAAAGTCTGTTAGCCGCAACCATTCATAGTGTGTGGAAACTTTATTACGAGGATACCTCAAAGTATGCACGAAGACAGTACAGCGGGAGTATCGACCGACGCGCAGCGGAGATCGATGCGTATGTGTATACTTATGGCGTTACGGTGACAGATGTATAATACTAATAGTTATGCATTAAATTAGATGATGTTATTAAATCCAAATTAACTATAGTATGCCAGAAAATAATTTTCAGAAACTACCGACACGTAACAAACCCAGCATAAAGGCGTTTGTTGTGTCGGATTTTCTCAGTAAGCAATGTTACCAAGTATAGCAACAAAATTTTCATTTAATCCGTTTTTGAACGTAAGTATTTGTACAACTATCGAATTATATGATTACGTAAAAACAAGTAGTTTTGCTGGGATGTAACTGGGACACTGAAGTCGACTGTAACAGTTGAATGCCATTTCAAGCCATACAGTGACCCCCTGAGAAAGGAAAGTGCATTGACATCAAAAGAAATTTCTGTGAAGTGATAACACTGGCTAAACCCTTTTTTACAGAAATCATTTATTGGGTACTATAGTTTATGTGCCCCTGGGCTTCAATGGAAATGCAATTTAGTAGAGGGGTTATTTAATATTACACTCGAGCTCTGAGATTTCCTGAGGTATTGGAAATATTGTATTGGAAGTATTTAACGATATGAATTGTAGGAATTATCCGAGGTTTTGTTGTTGGTCACAGTAATTCAAAATAGATACGAATATTTGTGAATCCACACTGTGCAGACATTTAACAGTCAAAGTTAAACACGTATTTCCCGCAATTCGTACAAATTAAGACCTTCGAATACTTCACATAACAGTACAACCACGTATATAACCACAATAAATCTTTATGGATGAGCTCAGAGTGCCACTTAAATATTGTTACTACTTTGATGTTATGTTGTACTTACTTTGATGTTCTACTTCGTATTTTACTCAATGACATCAACTTCTACGCAAAAAACGTTTTTTGGTTCTTATAAAGAGATTTTTCATCAGCTATGACGTATGTATGAAATTCAATAGACAGCTACTGAGTCTGTTTATTACAGTAAGCATAACTAGTCATCTATTACCATCTCTGTCAAGTTGTGTACAAATGTATTTATGAACATTATTGACTAAATAAAAAGTTAAACTAGTTATATATATGTTACTATACAAATACCAGTATACGATACGTGTTTGCACGGGGATGGGGAGCTTTTTGTCGCCGCCTCGAGGTACCCGGGGTCGCCTCGACTTTTGACTTGTTTGATTGATATACGACGTCAAAACTGGGGCGTCTCGTTGCCTAACGACGAAAAGTTGTATCGGCAAGTTTCTCAAACATAAAAAGCAATAGGACGTGTTGTTAAAATAAGTATTGTTCATTTTCTTCGCGAATTTTGTTTGCATGACAAAAGACGTTTGCGTACGCGAGTGTCTCGGGAAGCCTTTCCGTTGCCACGAGTCATGTCACTCGGACACGGACGCACTGCACACGGGCATGGTTGACGCGGACATTAAGAATCGGTGCTCCCGGATGTTGACAGGAGAGTTTCCAGTACATCCGGGTAAATATAATTGTAGTAATCCCCGGACCGGACTGTTAAATCAAAGGCTATAAAAGGGAATTCTCTATAGTCTTTGGTTAAATTCACAAGCAATACTGTCGTAATTGACTATGTAGACAGATTCATTGATTTGAATTATAGAGGGAACTTCGGGTGTAGTGGGGGATTGCGCAATCTATATATTACGGGAACCGAGTTTAGACCAGGAAAGAACGATAACATACTCCCACGTCTGCAGGTCAGAATGCAAATTTTTTTTTTCTGAAATTATAAATGGATCTCGCCGTCGTGTTGGCAACTATAGTGATTTGATTACCGCCACGAGTATGTCACTGTAACACTCGTTGGAGCATGTGGCAATGAACCCACCTGGACAGTTGAAAGGTCCGAGTCATTCACGTTAAATTTGGTGAAAATGCTATCCAATTTTTTCAAAAGTGTCACATAATCAATTATTTAAACTCATGTCATTATTTCGATTTGTTTACCCTACTTATTTAAAAAAAATAAAATGACTAAACAAATGATAAAAAATGGAAAGATCATATGAATCCATGATTAAAGTATTATTTCATAAAAAATACTACTAATCCAAATACGTGTCAGAAGTCACAATTTTAATCACTTTATGAGTCCCATATCGAACAGGACGCGGCGCGACGACCACCGCCCTTTAAGTTAGATAAAGTGGGTTTAAGTCCAAATCTAAGAAGCGAAGCCACAGGCACCACAGTCAACCAATGTCTATTATTCTAAATGTGTTATACACGAATGCCTACACATTGAGTGATCTCAAAGTGAACAGACATAACTTGAATGACAATGCCTATTGCAAATGAAAGAAGTAAATAAACCTTTAACATTTAAAATACAGAAAACGAGTAAAGGTAAGCTACCAGTAAGTGTTCTGGTCTGTGTGTGCCAGTTTGTCACCCTTTCTCCCACAATGATCCGACCCAGTCTGTGATCAGGGGGTAATGAGAAATGATTGTGTTGCGTAATTCTCAGTTCCACGATGCTAGCATGGGAGTTAGATAGAGCTCTCAGATCATGCATCTTGGCTGTAACTCCTATAGTGGGGTATCCGCATTTGAGTATGCATAGCTGATCATCTCTAAAGACTACCTGGAAAGTGTGGTACAACTCAGTGGCAACTGATGTTTCCCCCTCTGTATGGCCAGTGTATTTTATTGGAGTCTTCCTCAGCGATGCACACCCGTCAAGTTTTGGGTTGTCTCTGTTATCTGCAAATTAATGTTGATTACAGACGCCAATGATCTCAGAAGTGTACTTTAAGTATTCGTCTGAAGTCTCCTTTAGTTGATGGTGGGGAAACCAGGTAATTATGTTTGGGTATACCAAGTTGCCCAGCATGTGAAGTTGAACTAAAATCGCCTTGCTCATCAATGGGGCCAAGCAGAGGCTGAACAGAAGTACCCAAAACTGATGCACCATTCCTTCTGCCACAAACATCAACAGAGGTTGGCTTGCTAGACGCATTGGTATGTGTAGGTATGCATCCTTGGGCCATGAAACCGGGCTCGGTTAGTGGGCAGAGCATGCATGCCTTTGGCAACTTCTCATGAAGGGTGTCATTTTCTAGGGAGTATACAATGCAGTGTGTTGTTTGTTGGTGTTATATCAGCTATGCTTGCGGCCATCTCTCACCAAGGTATGGGAACAGAGTGTGTAGCAGTGTATATGACCGACTGTACAGACCCTGAACAGGTAGACACCCATTCTGAGCATGGTTTTTACACTCGTACAAATTATACACTCTAGAAAGATGCACATGACTTTAACAAGGTCCACAAGAGATCTGTGCTCTACTGTACAGAAACTAATGACTCTCCACTACTAAGAATAATTGGACAATGAGGTAAGTATTTACCTAATTCTATCTTGTGAAATAAATCACATAGTCCAGTGATGTACACAAGATTATGGAACTGATACCTGACACAAAATTACTTGACAAATGTATATTTCTGGAATTACGAATGAAGGAGGCAAAGATCTTGGGCTGTTTTATGTTTTTAAATTAATTTCAAGACAGAAGAATTTTAAAACGCTTGAAACTTTATTCCCGCAAGTTAATATATAGTTGTTACAAAACTAATTCTAATATTTACATCTATATGCACCATTAACACTATTGTATCAGCTATTTTTTTTAATATTGTGCTCATGATAAATTACCATTGAAATAAAAAAAACTTACTGATCACTGTCAAAATAGTTATTGCTACAGTTGCCCAGTTGAGTCAAGACTTATATCCAATCCATAACAACCAAGAAAAAAACCCGTCAGCAAACACACTGATCTCTGATTGGTCTGACATGGTAAGTTTAGTAGCCAATCAGGCACAATCTTGTAAGTAGCTTTGCATTGACTGCTATTACAAGATTTTAGTAAATATGATGTAATCACAAGATGTCATTCAGCATTTTACACAGATCAAATGTAAACAACATGTGCAGACAGTAACTACTTTCATGACAGTCTGATTTTAAGAATTACATTTTCATACACAATTGAACAATTTCTCG